ACCGATGTCATCATTGCTTAGTTCATCTTAAGTTAATTTTAAGCCAGCCCGTAATGCTATGCATAGTATAAGTGGCTTTGGCATACTGCTCTTTTTCTGTATTTTTTGTACCTCTGTATGTGTGCACAAATTTTTAAATAAATAAATAAATAAATAAATAAATAAATATGCTACAACAGTGTACACTGATGGCTCCAAATCCCTGAAGTTAGTAGGGAAGAGGCTGTTTTCCAAGATAAAGTATTCAAGGGATACTAGAATCAGTCAGCATATTCACAGAAGAGCTGCTGTATGTAATATCTACCACTCTAATATACATAGCAAGTATGTTAACCTCTTCCTTTGCTATTTCCAACTCCCAAAACACATTACAGGCTATTCAGAGTTTTGACTCATGTTCCATATTACTTTGGTTACACATTACCATCAAGCACAACAACACTTTTTGCTGTGTCCCTGAACACACTGATGGTGAGAGTAACAAACATGCAGATTCAGCTACTCAATCCTCTCTTCACAATTTGCCAATCTGACACAGGAAGGAAAGGCCCTTTTTGGATTATGTTGCAATGATTTCTCTACAGCCTCAAAATCAATGGCAACAGCATTGATCTAAGTTGAAACACAAAAAATTGTTTTCCATTAAATCACATTTAGGATTTAACCATCTTACTAATGTTGTCATATGTAGGAAACTTTCTTCTTTCTTTCAATAAACCACCCATATCCCATCAAGGCAGGTCCACCTAAAAAGAAAAACAAAAGTTTCTTTAGTAATGTATACAGGAGAAGGGGTTACTAGCCCCTTGCTTCTGGCATTTTAGTCACCTCTTATGATATGCATGGCTTATGGAGGAAGAAATCTGTACCACTTTCCCATGGAAATAAGAGGAAATAAACAACAAGAACTAGTAAGAAAATAGAAGAAAACCCAGAGGGGTGTGTATATATATGCTTGTACATCCATATGTAGTGTAACCTAATTGTAAGTAGAAGTAGCAAGACATGCCTGAAATCTTGCATGCTTATGAGACAAAAAAGACACCAGCAGTCCTACCATCGTGTAAAACAATTACAGGCTTTCGTTGTACACTCAATTGGCAGGACGGTAGTACATCCTTGGGCAGTTGCTGTCTACCAACCTACTACCTAGGATGTAGGAAACTATCCTCACAAAATTGCAAACTATACACACACACACACCTCATACACTGATACCTCATGGAGAGATGTCAGGTGCCTCTCTGCAAAGCTTATTGGATCACACTGTCAGTCCAACACACAGTAACACTGCCCTATATGTCAGAGAGCATTCAGGATACACTCACTTTAGATACCTACAGCACCTACACATGCTGATTCTTCCTGCCATTCTTGCTGAAAGCCCTATCTTTAAAGAAGACACACTTTATGACTTTTTAACAGACACTGACCTTTTATTCCATGATTATTGCATACATCTTCTAACCCTAAACTACACTACCCCCTTTCAAGTTTCCATATATACCACAGCAGCACTCTGTGAGCCATTAGGCTTTAGCATATATTTTATAATAATAATCAAAGGTGGCTTTTTTATATGAAAGGGAAGGACTCCAAGCCTAGGCTAACTTAGGGAATAGAAGAACAACAAGAATTGCTCCAGGTTAAATATAATGCAAAAGTAAGGGGGTTTTCATGTATTATACATAACTAGACTGTGGTTGACAAAATATATACAGTATGTTGGAGTATATAAACACGTTTATACTTTCCCCAAATATTGATGGAAGATTAATAAAATGACACCTTACCTAAAAGCACTCCCTATTCAAGAGACATTCAAATGAGTGAGGTCATGCCACTTTATCCTAACTTCATGACAGGCCCATGAGAGGGTGGTTGGAGGAGGTATGCTGGTTAGACTAGCAGTCCACTTGCATCACCTCTTCCCTTATACACATTATGGAGAAAATAAATTCTTTTGCTAATCCTTACACTTAAGGAGTGCTGAGTATTAATATAGTTACAGTTTTATCCAGTCTTTGCAGCTGGAGTGTCCATTAACACAACATATATTAAATATATTAACAGTTGATGGCATGCTAGATGACAGACTACTAATTATTGGTAATGACAGAATGTGTATATTAAGGTAAAGAATACATACACTAAGCTTATTCTGTCTTTTCTTGAGAAAGAATTCTTCCTAGTTTGGTGTATGTAGAAAATAATAGTACATACTTAATATAACTTTGTGTCATTATAGTGGGCACATCTTGGCAACATGTGGGGGTTTACCTGGAGTTTACCTGGAGAGGGTTTTGGGGGTCAACGCCCCTACGGCCTGGTCTGAGACCAGGCCTCATGGTGGATCAGGGTCTGATCAACCAGGCTGTTACTGCTGGCTGCACGCAAGCTGATGTATGAACCACAGCCCAGTTGGTCAGGTACTTTTGACTTTAGGTGCCTGTCCAGTGCCTTCTTGAAGACAGCCAGGGGTCTATTGGTAATCCCCCTTATGTATGCTGGGAGCCAATTGGGCAGTCTTGAGCCCCGGACACTTACTGTGTTGTCTCTGTACTTGTGGCACCCCTGCTTTTCATCGGGGGAATGTTGCATCTCCTGCTGAGTATTTTGCTATCATAGGGAGTGATTTTTGTGTTCAGGTTTGGTACCAATCCCTCCAGAACCTTCCAAGTGCATGTTATCATGTATCTCTCTTGCTTGCGTTTGAGGGAATACAGATCAAAGACCTTCAACCGTTCCCAGTAGTTTAGGTGTCTTATTGCACTTACGTGTGCCGTGAAAGTTCTTTGTACACTCTCCAGGTCTGCAATGTCGCCAGCCTTGAAGGGGGCAGTTAGTGTACAACAGTATTCCAGCCTAGAGAGCACAAGCGATTTGAAGAGAATCATCATGGGCTTGGCGTCCCTAGTTTCGAAGGTTCTCATTATCCATCCTATCATTTTCCTAGCGGATGTGGTCTTTGAAGGCGAGATCCTCTAACATTATCACTCCCAGGTCCTTCACATTACTTTTCTGCTCTATTATATGGTTAGAATTTGTGGTATACCCTGACACATTTTTTATTTCTTCAAGTTTTCCATATCTGAGTACAGTTGAAATTTCTCCTCATTGAGCTTCATATTGTTTTGAGTGGCCCATTCGAAGATTTGGTTGATGTCTGCTTGGAGTCTCGCGGTGTCTTCGATGGAGGTCACTGCCATGGTGATCTGGGTGCCATCTGCTAAGGAAGACATGGAGCTATGGCTTACATCTCTGTCTGTCAGAAATGAGGATGAGGAATAGAATGGGAGCAAGTACTGTGCCTTGTGGAACAGAGCTTTTTACCATGGCTGCCTGGGACTTTACTCTGTTTACTATTACTCTTTGTTTTCTGCTTGTCAGGAAGTTGTAGATCCATCTACCAACTTTTTCCATTATTCCTTTATCCCGCATTTTGTGTGCTATTACACCATGGTCACACTTGCCGAAAGCTTTTGCAAAGTCTGTGTATACTACATCTGTATTTTGTTTATCCTCTACAGCCTCCAGGACCTTGTCATAGTGGGACAGGCATGAGTGACCTGCTCTAAACTCGTGTTGTCCTGGGTTGTGTAACTGATGGGTATCTAGGTGGTTAGCTGTCTTGCTTCTTAGATCCTCTCAAAGATTTTTATGATATGGGATGTTAGTGCTGTCGGTCTCTAGTTCTTTGCAATTGCTTTACTGCCACCATTATGGAGTGGGGCTATGTCTGTTGTTTTTAGTGTGTGTGGGACAACCCCTGTGTTTATGCTTCCTCTCCATAAAATGCTGAAGGCACGCGATAGGGATTTCTTGCAGTTCTTGATGAACACAGAGTTCCACGAGTCTGGGCCTGGGGCAGAGTGCATGGGCATGTCATTAATTGCCTCTTCAAAATCTTGTGGAGTTATAATAATAATTGGGAGTTTTGAGGTCATGTAATGGGCTTCTCTTCATCAAAGATCCTGGCTTTCTGCTAGGATTCGTTACTGCCATATTACCCACCAGCTACAACATTACACTACTACTAGTAGTTTACATTGGTAAGAGATATAGCTCCTGTGGTGGCATATCATATGCAAGGATCACTCAGTGAATATGTTATACTACTCGCAACACAGTTAGGGGTGTAGCTCCTGCAAGGTGGTAACAAGAACTGGTCCAGCTACTAGTCTAGACCTGACTCACTTCCATCTTTCTTTAGCAAAAAACAAATGTAACCAACCTGTGCAAAAATTACAGAACACTGTCAACATGCATGGTTAAGACCTTGATCTGCTGCTGTACTGGTAGGTACAAGAAATATTACCAGAACAAAGGTGGAAGTTTTCAAAATTAAAATGAAACATTCTGCTATAAGCATCAGATCAGCTAATTTGGCATTGGCTCTGTAGGCCTGCAGGCCACTGGCACCAACAACCTGGTTGAGCAAGAAGTTACTAAGAAAGTCTGGTCCAAGGCCATGTTACAAGGGAAGAAAACCCTTGAAACCAGGTAGGCAACAAGTAACATGTTTATTAGCCATGATCAACACACTTTTTCCTATCAAACTATGCTAGGTCAACTTGGAGAAAGCCAAGTACCTGAATCATATACATAATAGAATAGACTAAATTCATTAATTGCAAACATTATGAGATACATTTTAACATAAAAAAAATGTGGATGCTTTTGTGACACTTATGAAACCAAACTTTTTTTTTATTTTATAATCTATAAACAAATTTAAAGAGTTACTAGGAGTATTAGATGCAGATTTATTTATTTAATGAAATACAATATTGAGATGAAGAGTAAAGCAATAGGTGTTAGATTACAAAATCACTAACATACAGTATATACTCACAGTTTTAAGAAACACAGTATGTAAATGCTGATTTAGAGTTTAGCATTAGTTAAGTCTCCATTATTTTTCTTCTTACAATGCATGAATTACTTGAAATTAATATTATGTACATATAACACTAAAAAAATATTTACTTTTCCTTTAGCAACAGGAAGAAAGGATCTAAAAGAAGGTGGGTTTCCATATAGAACATAAGACATAGTGTAATTGAACATATACCCTGTTAATTTGTATTATACAAAAACATTTATTTAATTGATGCAATGAAGAGGTCAACAAGGTCTGGTGTAGATTTAAGGCTGGAGTGCTAGTGTGTGCAGCAGAGGTTTGTCATTATAAGAGGGTGGCTGTGGATAGGAAGAGGGTGGTAAAGGAGAAAGTTATGTACAGAAGGCAGAGTATATGGAGAGGAAAATAGGGTAAATTATTGGTGGAGTGTGCAGAAGGAAAGCAAATGAGAAAATACATGAGCACCAGTAAATTTTGCTGAAAATAAAAACTGTTTTGTAGAAAGAATGAATCGAGAAATCCTGGGAGCAAATGAATTTGGCAATTCAGACTGAAACTTTCATTATATTAGATGGGGAGATGGAAGCATTGGAATGTTAGAATTTTTTGAAGTAGAGAAGGTTTATTAAAAGGAAGGCAGGGATTTCATGCATTGTGCAAAGAGAAATAAGATCTGATGGGAGTAGGGAAGAACCAGGAGTGAGTGTGGAAGCGTGTGAGGCACTGGGTAGGATGAAAGTGCAGAGCACACTTTCGTATGTGTAAAAATTATAGAGGAATAAGTATGTTGACCATATAATAGAGTTATCAAAATAATTAGAAGCAAGACAAAGTAGGACTGCAGAAGGATTTTTGAAGGGAAGGGGATGTTTAAATGAAGTGTTTGCATTAAAGCATATGAGCAAACAATACCTAGGAACTGTAAGGACTTGTATCTTGCATTTATGGATTTTTATGTAAGGCATATGATGTACATAGGGAAGCAGTGTGGTAGCAGGTGTTGCAGATATATGGAATTGGTGTTAGATTATTAAAAGCAGTAGATTTTATGAGTTTAGGTTATGTAGAAGAGAAGAGGCCTGTTTTCCAATAAAAGTAATCCTTCAAAAAGGGTTTGTGAAATTGCCAGAGGTTTAATACATTTATAGCTGGGGTTGTGAAAGTAAATGTTAGTGGTAGGGAGAGGTTTTGGATCAAAAAATAATGAATCTGATAAAAAGTGGGATTTATGGATGATCTTTGCTGATGACAGTACTTTTAAGAGACACTGAAAAGAAGCTGCAAAGGTTGATGGTGGAGTTTTGGAGAATGTGCAAAAAGAAGGAAATTACAAGTGAACATAGTAAAGAACAAGGTGTTGAAAGTGTATCTAGGTAATGAAAGATGGAACATCAGATTTGAGGGAAGGAACATGGAGAAGGTAAATATATTTACAATGGTACCCCAAGTTTCTGCCATAATTCGTTCCAGAAGGCTGTTTGAATGCTGTTACCGAACAAATTTGTTCCCATAAGGAATAATGTAAATTAGATTAGTCCATTTCAGACCCCCAAAAATACACCTGCAAGAGCACTTACAATAATACACTTACATAATTGCTCGAGTTGGGAGCTGTACGAAACTCTGGGTACCACTGTACTTGGTGGATTTTTAATAGTTGAGGCATTGGTAGATGGGTCTATTAACCCCTTGACTGTCGCAACTCCAAATCCTGAGGTGCCTCCTGGTGTCGCAAAATTTCCAAAAAAAAAAAAAAATTATTTTTTCTTATGAAATGACAGAGAATCTTTTCCTGATTGTAATGACACCAAAAGAACAAAATTTGATGGAAAACTGATGGAATTACGCTCTCGCGAAGTTAGCAACCTCTGCGATATTTACGAATTGGCAATTTCGCCCACTTTGAGCCCTATTTTCGGCTAATTCCATTGTTCCAGTCGACCAAACTCATAGCCATTTCTTTAGAACTCCATTTTTTCTATCGATTGAATACAAGAAACTGCCAATTTACCAATTTCAACTACCCAATAACGGTCAGAAATTTGCAATTTGGCCAATTTCACGAAAATTAAAAAATATGACAATTTCAAAATAGGGGTCCAGAATGAACAATGCAGACATTCCTGGCCCTAAAATAAAATTTTTTTTGTTCATCAGTCATGTCTCCAGGCCCCTCTGATATTACTCTTGCTTTCTATTTTGAATTTTTATTCAAACAAAAAACAGAAGAGTTACTGTTATTCAGACTACTGCAATATTGTAATAATTGCATAAATAATGTCAACCCATTCATGAGTGCATATTAGAATGGCTACTTGAGCATTTATTGGAAAATGACATCATTTGTTTACTTTTGAACATCAGCAAAAATCAAACACTTCCCCTACTTTGAGCTCCATTTCAAGGTTCTTTTCATAGTAAAACCAATCAAAATCACCTCTATATCTATAATATGTTTTCCATTCTATCAAATGAGACCAGAAAACGAGAATACAACTATAAATACTATACGAAAGTAGACCACATAGTCGGCATTTTAATTAAAAAAAACCGGTCGGAGTTTTTTTTTTTCTCATTATGCACTGCATGTTGCAGGATTTTTTTTATATGGTGCACACTGACCACACAGACCCATTCTCTCACATGTGGGACTACCAGCTTTCTCCTGCTTGATTTAAAGTCGCTAGAATTTGAGTATATATACGTCAAAAACAGTGGCTCATTAGACGTATATATACGACCTAAACAGTCAAAGGGTTAAAGATTAAATGAATCTTAGAATAACCTTTTATATATTTTAATCAGGGTCATATAGCATGTGAGGAATGGGAGGCAATCAGGTTTGATCCAAGGAAAGGTAGGATAAATCTAGTTCTTTGGATCAAGAACCATCTTCACTAGTATCAAGACTCAACTCAAGGGGAAATAGAATAGACACGTGACAAAAAAGGCATGATTAATGTTGTGGCATCTATGGAAATTAAAAAGTTTATCAAAAAAGACAAAAAAGGAAACGTACCGGAATATAATGAGAGTAAAACTTGTTTATGAGCGAGAGGAGAAGTATGGGCTTTAAACATTGCAACTGGGAGGAAGCTGGAGGCAGTGATGTGTGGTGCAAATATTAGGCAGAGAATTTGGAGCATAGAAATCTAAAGATGGTGTGGTAGTTTGAAAGGTTAAATTCAGAGAGCAGAAGAGGGTTTGTTATGGTGATTTGTTCATTTAGAAAGGATGGAGCAAAGGACTTCCCAAGAAGGGTTAGAGGGATTATGGAGGTTTAGAGTGGTAGGGCTTGAGCAACCAGCAAGCATGTTTGAATGCCAGATCAGAATGAGCAGAGGCATGTAACTTTTGGGATCTGACATGCTGTTTGAGAGTGAGCAAGATGACATTTATCAAGGGAGACATAGAAATTGGTTAGCTATGCAAGCCTTGGAGGTGGGAAATAAGTGTTTGCACTCTGAAAGAGAGGTAGGGATGTTGCAGTTTGGAGTCATTTGAATTGTAATGTCCATACAGTTTTGGTAAGACAATTGTTGAATGAATAGTGGTAAGTATGTTTCCTTCTTTGGGTAGCTCTACCTTTTTGAGATATGATGAATGTTGTAAAAAAAAAGTGTTTAAGCTAGAGATTAGGCAACATGTACAATTTTCTAGGGAACTGAGGGAACAGAAAGCATATTTAGTGCTCAGTCTACTGATATAATTCAATTGATCATCATTCAAAGTAATTTCCACCCTCAGACCTAATTTATAAATCTTTATTGCCAACCTGTTTTGTACAATTCTTAATACATGACCAAAATGTAGAAACAACTTTCCTTCTGCCCTTTAAATTACTGGTATATATACAGACTATAAAGGTTTATTAAGGAGAGGCATCATTTGAAATACAGTACTCTAGTTTCCAGCTATGAGGCATCTGTGCTTGGTCTGAAGAATCCATTGGTCTGTGCAAATGCAGAGGTGCTGGAAACAAGTGCAAACTCCCTCAACTCACAACTCTCTCCATTAAGAGCCTGATTACATCAACTATTGGCAACCTGTGATTGCAAAAACATTTTGTGAAGGGCTGGCAGTAATGTAACCAAACTGGGTTAACTAAAAATTACAAACTAATGCTAAAGTTTAACAAATGCTCTGCTCGCTCGCTCACTCAATGACAAATTAGTTTAATGACGCAGGAATACTCTTGGCAAATACATCCTACCTACTAGCATGTTTCTTAATTAAACATGTATTAGTGAGTTGAATGACATTTTGAATTAATATTTCATCTGCCTTGTAACCAATAAATTTTATTTTTTTCATATAACTCTCAAATAGGGGTTTTCAGAAAAATTAACCATTAAATGTTTGTTTGTTTGTTTTTTTTTTTTTTTTTCATAAAATTATGGAGTAGGGTTAGTACTCACAAGCTGAACAATGCATGGCATAAAATAAATCTTGCTAGTAAAGAGATTCAATAGCTCCATAAAAATTATGAAAATAAAAAATGACAAAAGATTAAATGAAGGAATTCCTAACATTACTGAGGAGGACATTCAGGACTGGCATAACTGACCCTACTTGGGAAATAATAGTTGGTGTCTAACTTGTTGATTCTGTCAGAAATAAGTACTGGAGACATAAGTAGAGGCACAAGCTGAAGTTACAAGCATAATAGAAAATACTTTATAGTATTCAACTTTAAGGAAATTATAACCTTTATGCAGAAGAAACTGTGTAACTAATTTGCAAATGGTGCAGGATTCACTGTACAAAGCAACCTTCATTTATTTCATTGTTAAAGAACACACGCGCTGCATTTTTCATAGTTGGAAGCTCAAGGTGAACATATGCAGTCAAGCAATGAGCTTGAGAGTACAGGCACCTGTACACCCTATAAAAATAAATAAAATAAAATAAATTTTTATTTCTTTGCTAAGGTTATAGTGTGTGTCTACATTTCATATTTTGATTGGTACAACGAAAGCCACTATCATGCCGAGGCATTTCGGGCAGACTTAAACTAATGCTTAAAGACTTCTTAAGTTTAGACAGGTGAAGATTGGTAGAATACAAATGTTCAATATTTTACTCTATTATTAATATGAGGTAGTACAATTAATGATACAAACATACATTTTTAAGTTTGTAATAATGGCTTAATAGTTAAAGGATAATAAAATATTTGGGAGAGTTGCTTTAAATTTGGTTAGAGTTTAGCATAGTGTAGGTTTGGTTTTTATTGGGAGATGAGGTGATTTTTGAGTATAGTCCTAAATTGATTTGTGGGGAGGGGACCTCTTGCTGTTTCAGGCAAAGAGTTCCAGGTCTTTGGGCCCTTTATGTGCATTGCATTTTTGCATAGTGTGAGACGAACACGAGGGATGTCAAAAAGTGTTTTGTGCCTCGTGCTATGCCTGTGTGTTCTGCTGAAGCTGTCTAGAAGTTTGAGTGGTGGGTTGATATTGGAGTTTAATGTTCTGTATATATAGTAGGCACAGTAATAAGTGTGTATTTTTTGTATATTAAGTAATTTCAAGCTTTTGAAGAGTGGTGGGGTGTGTTGTCTGGTGATGGAGTTTATGATCATCCTCACCACTACTTTTTGTTGAGTTATTAAAGGTTTAAGGTGATTGGCTGTGGTAGATCCCTAAGCACAAATACCATAGGTAAGGTAAGGGTATATTAGAGAGTGATATAAAGTAAGGAGTGCCCTTTGGGGTACATAGTATCATATCTTGGAAAGGATACCTACTGTTTTGGAAACTTTGTTAGGTATATGCTAGATGTGGGTCTGAAATTTAAGATTACAGTCAAGGTGGAGACCTAGAAATTTGCCCTCAGTGTGTCTTATAATGGGTGAACCATTTATCGACATGTTTAGCTGGATATTTAATGCTCTACTTCCAAAAAGCATGAAGTAGGTTTTGTCTATATTGAGAGTAAGTTTGTTAGTCATCATCGAGTTTGATATTTTATGTAGCTCAGTGTTTACATTGTTACTAAGTATAGCCGGATTTGGGTGGGAGAAGACATAAGTGGTGTCATCCGCAAATAAAACTGGTTTAAGGAGTTGCGATGCATTTGGGAGGTCATTGATGTAAATAAGAAAGAATAGAGGACCTAGGACACTTCCCTGTGGCACTCCAACAAGTACAGGCTGAGTATTGGAGGTCACGCCATTTGGTGGCAAGTTATTTAGGTCTCCTGCCTTGTTTTTTAATGAGCTGAGGCCAAAGCACTTAGTCCACTTCTCTGAAATTCAAGTAGTATGAGTATCTTGAAGGTGTATATTTGTTGCTATACAGTATTACCTTTTCAGGGTTAGCCTTTAAATCGATTATATAATAATTTATATACTGGCTTGGACATGCACCAGGCTTGTGTGAGCATATTAAATGGGAACAAGTGGAGGCAAGTGGTTTTTATGATTTGATGTGCTGTTGAGTGTAAGTAGGGTAACATTTATGAGGGGATTCAGGGAAATTGATTAACTGGACTAGAGTCTTGGAGGTGGGAAGTGAAGTATTTGCACTCTGAAGAAGGGGTGGGGATGTTGCAGTTTGAAGGGGCAACTGAAGTGTAATTTCAGTGTACTTCTGGCAAGACAGTGATTGAAAAAATGATGAAAGTCTTTTCCTCTTAATGTGCCCTACCTCGATGGGGAGATGGTTTGTGTGTTAAAAAAAAAAAAATGCTGCTGTAGTTTAACACTGTATTCAACCTTTGTTGAGTAACAATTATAATTATTTTTCTTTGTCCCAGAGATGTGTACAGGTTTACCTCACTTTGTGCCAAGACCAAATTTCTACCAGGAATTTGCTGTGTGTTGTAAAAATTCTTTTGTGATGATGGGGGGGGGGGGCTGTCACTGTGCACTTTTCATTCTCATGCGGTCACCCAAAACTCAGTGCCACTTGATATATTTACAAAATCATTTTAAATACTCCTCTGACCTTGTTTACATTAACATTCGTAAGCCATAACAAAAGGAAAACAGATTCGGGCATGGTAAATCCAGTGAGCATATGAATGAAAACCTATGATTGGTTGTCAATTTCAATGTCTTGTTCCAAGTCAGAAGAAAATGGATATGCAGCTAGACAAAGTTGGCTTCAATACAAGGTTGGGACTTGGGTGGAAGGAGGGAAGAAAGAGTATTAGAGAGATATGTATTCACAGCTTCATAACTATGCACTTCAATCCAGGCAAAGTCAGGCTGGTTGGCTGATAGTGGAGGGAGGATAAAAATAAAAGATGGTTATAGTTGAATTTTTAAGTTAATTTTTTCTCATTTGTTTATTTTTAAGTACATGACAACTATTTGGTGCCTTATCTGGCATGCTCAATTTTTTGGTAAATATACCCAGTACAGGAAGGTCCTGCTTATACAGCAGGTTACATTCTGGACTATTGATGTAAAGCAAAAATCACTGTAAAATGAAATGTGGCCTTTTTTTAAAAAATGCATATACAGTACACACATTACTTACCTTAAAATATTTTTGTCCTTAGCTTACAGTGAATGGTGAATATATTTATTGTATGAAGTCTGAATAAATGGAGAATGGGTATAATTGAAAACTGCTGCATTAGTCAAACTGCATAAAGCAAAGCACTATAAAGCGGGGCCTGCCTGTGAGTAAAGAAATGTGGAATCTTGTCCCGATTGTGCATTTTTATTTTTTCTTGGTGCTTTCAACCATGTTCATTTCTATTGAGTATCTATATTTAATACATATGTGGCAACCTCATATTCAGAGGCAGTTCCAGAATTTCTGTGTAGATGGGGCTTAGGGATGGCAGTCTAGTTGGAAGGGGAGCTGGGGGTCTTGAAGCTGCATAATTATTTTTATTTGGGGGTGTTGATAGAGATTATGGGGGCTGAAGCCTCTTTCTCTTTTTAAATCAGTCAAGAAACGTAGAATTTGCAAAGTTTCAGAATGAATCCCTGTGTTTTACATATAATGTGAGTTCACTCTATGTACAAGGGACCATGAATGCATCTATCAAAGGTGTACAGTAACTGCTCTCAAGTGCACCCAGTGGTTTGAAAAGATGTACAAGTTAGATTTCATTTCTTCTGCTACAGATAGACTGGAGTTTTGGAGGTGGGATGTAGTTCAATTGGTTGTCATTGGGCTGTAGTTTCTGGTTTCTGTGTCCTGGAAAAGCAACTGGGGAGCCAGTGATGGTCATTGTGCTTTTTGTAGGCCAGCTCCCATTGGTTATTAGAAGTAAAATGAAAGATGACAGGAAAACATTTATTCTCAGTTTTCAGTGGTTCAGATGCACTGTACAATGAAGTTGTATATGAAAAAAACAAAACAGGCTTGCTATGATAAATTTAAAAAGAATCATAAAGTACTCTGAGCCTGAGTTTTAAACTATAAACCACAAATAGGTAATATAATAGTGATTTGCCTAAAGCTTCTGCAATTTCAACAATATGTGGTGGCTTAGTGCTTCTTTTTGATTATAATAATAATAATAATCAACAATATGTGAAAAGTATTATACAATGCCTGCAAAATATATTGAGTTGAGAACACAAAGGAAATACTAATTTCAGTGTTTCAGTATTCTCTCTTGCACTTGAAAACCTATGAGCAATATTACAGAGGCTCATCATATGTCAGGCAGCTTACACATAAACAGTAACCTCCACCCATCAGTTGCTCTCAGTTTCCTTGAAGTTGCTGCACTTGACCCCCATTTTGTATTTTTGCATTAAGATTGTATGACAGCGATCATGTTGGGCCCATGAAGCCTAGTATGGAAGAGAAGACTTCCATTTTGACCCCCTGCAAAAGCAGGATATAACAATCATGAGACAGCCAAGCAAGTTGGATGACTGGAAGCAGTAGTGCGAAGGGTGAAGAGTTCAGTAGCCAGAATCCCTCTTCACGAGGTTCCCAAGAGGAAGTCTGGTACTAGAAAGCAAAGGAAGTCGAAAAAAAAAAATAGTTCTTTGTAGTTCACTTTTTCTTTTTTAAATATTTTTTATGTAAAGTGATGTCAGATATGAAAATGTCAATGATTTCTCCTGCATCGATTTCATTTGCGGGCAGTGTGTATGTTTATAGCTTCTTACGTACATTAAAATCCTATTTTTAATTAATGTTCTATTTTTCAGCATGGGCCAGTAAAATAAGCCATTAAGTACTTGTTGAAGGTATTAAAATGTGTACAGAATACTCTTGAAATTTCTTTTCTTGTAATATTTAAAATGTTTTAGGAATTCAGCAATTATTTTGTATTATTTCCTCTTCACAGTGAACTGATACTAAATTCTGATGGTGGGAATACAGTCATTTCATCACAGGTGAGTCTCGCGACCCTTCATTCACGTCCCATACTAAAGCGTGAGACAAGCACAGGAAACACACAACATAAACACTCTCCTAAACGCAGACCCATGCTGAAGTCCTTCAGTCAGGACATTGGTGCCAGCTCCTGCATGCAGTCAAAGGTACAGTATGAGCTTGTTAAGTCTGTGAACTGGATTTCAATTTGTTTATAACAGCATTTATGACCAGATCATTTAATAAAAGCCTTGACTGGTACTCGACAAGTTTAAGATTCCTTTGTGTAAAATTTGGCAAATTGGTCTGTGAAACACTTAAGACTAGGGGTGCACGTGTTACTAAAAATCGGATTAAAGAAAGGTAGGGTAACTGTGTGATTTTTTTTAAATCTCTATCCTGTATCTTTTAGATGTAGTGCATAATTTCACTTTCCATTTGTAGGGAAATAGCATGCAAGCTCTGCTTGAATATGAGGCATAGCTGTGTCGGTGCTGCCATGTAAGTTTCCTACTGCTACTTATGAAGCCTTGAAGAATATAAAATAATTTCTATTCCACTAGTTTGTGTATTTAAATATTTAGCAGACAACTTGGGCATAATTTCATTTTGCATTGTTCACTTAAATTTCCAGCCCTTCTTATCTGATTTGCCAATTTTATTTTTCAGTATGCAGGAGAAAAGTTACTGCCATATACAATACTACATATACAACACATATATACTGTATTCTTTTTATATACATAAAGAATTCAGTTAAATCTAATTGAATAATAATCTGTAAAGCTCTATTTTTTTAGCACTATGATAGAAAAATTTTATAAAGTTTAAGCAGTTTTTCTTGATTTATATACAGGAAGTTTTACAAGATATAATTAAATAATTATTGTGTAATTACTTATACTTGAGATGCCTAACTACATGAACTTAGCACATCGATACCAAGTGAAATGACAAACTAATTTTTCCTGTCATTTATAGGAACGAGTAAAAATTTCTGCAAGTGAACCAGCTCTAGCTTGCCGAAAGATATCTGTACATAACAAGCAAATAACATCATCACCATCAGAAGAGGGAAACTCATCCGATTCATCTATAATAGAAGATCGCTCAAGTGCTGAGTCTAGGAAAAAACAGATTAAAAGTAGATTTAGTAATGGTATTCTTGGAACCCTTAAATTTAACAGATGCAGAAAGCCAAAAGAGACTCAAAAAGATTAAAATAAAAGATAGTGCATGTAAAATCTAAATAGAATTTCAAATTTCATGTCATTAATATCATCTTCCATATGGAGCGAGCTGACAATCTCCTCCATTCTGACCTGGCCAATGCACAACTTGAGTCTGGTTTGCAGTCTTTTATCCTTTCATTTTGCTAGTGATTCAATTCATCCCCCGTTACACTGCTACTTCACTTCTTGAGCTTAAACTCTTGATAAAGTTTATCTTTGTTACATTTAAAGTTTTTTTCATGCCTTATTGAGCATAATGTTTCTTGGTGTCACTGCAACTTGATGGCCTCACAGAAATCATTAATAACTCCATTTCAGTGTTATGTTAAAATTTCTTTTGTTTTATTTATACTGCAGGTTATTCTCCTAGTTTTTTATATGTACTTTTTAAGAGCATTGTTATAACTATGTACAATACAGTAGTTATTTCTTTATTTTTACCTTTTATGAATCTGTATATATATTTGCTTGTGTATTCTGGAAGAGGATTGTATATTTGTTGTATTTGTATTATATGTTATATGCACAGGGATTCTTGGTTTCTTTAAAATTTGTTAAGTTCATAATAAATTATAATACATGGTTGCATATGTGCCATTTTTATGAAGTGAAATGACCAATCAGTTATTGTTGTCTTCTTTTATTGCTCCTCTTTTTTTCTATCCTACAACTTTGAAACTGTTGACAGATTTGTTTCTGATAATCTGTTCTGTTTATACATCATAAGTGAAGTGTTTCTCAGGATATTTAAGACCCAGATTGTCTGATGTTGATGTCAAACTGGCAATTTCATCATAAAAATTATTAAGATTCATTTTTTTTCCTTCAAAGGCTGGTCTGTTTATCAAGATCTAAAAATACATTTTACTTCATGAAGCTGACAAGCAGTATTTAGATTAGAAAATTTAATAGGAACTTGAAGCTTTACAAGTATTTGCTGTTGCCATTATTACTTGGTAATAAAGTAGCAACAGTGACTCTGGTTTCATAGCATTTTGAACTTATTGCCAGCTCAGGTTTGGTTTATCAGATTTTCCTGTCCTTTGTATCTTTAAAACTTGATAGGAAATTATTTCTGATGCTGCCTCAATCCTTAGGATTTAAAACTATACCCAAGCCAGTGTTGTATGAATTCAGTTTTATTTTAGTGCTCAAGGTACTTTCATGTCACATTTAAGTTTACCAATTTAGTTAAGTAATTTGCAATGATTTTTCCTTGATTTCCATATACAGTATTAATATCACAAACCTTCTTGTATGCATGACTCAATGAAGCATGGCTGTAATCATCTACAAACTGATAAACTGAAGGGAAAAATGTTTTTAAAGATATTTTAAACATTTGTTCCAAGGAATGGTAAAGTTCCTCAGTCATAATAACTGGATTGGAAATGACAAAATTATTTACTAGTTTTCCATTTTTTCAAGCAACAGAATACATGGAAAATTCGTATGGAGAACATCACATTATTTTAGTTCTTTCAACAAACCAGCCATATTTCACCTCAGCATGGTGGCCCAAAAAGAGAAATGAAAGTTTCTCTTTTTAACTTTAGTAATATATGCAGGAGAAGGGGTTACTAGCCTCTTACAACACACATAGCTCACGGAGGAAGAATTCTGTTCCACTTCCCCAAAGAGTATTTTAGTTCATGTATACAAAATGACAATGAAAGTTATTTGGTCTCATTTTAAGTATTTGTTTCAAATACCTCTGTTTTTGTTTTGTAAATGTCTTAATCAGCCATGGTAACTAATGAAAAATAAATTGTAATATGAGGATGTTTAAAATAAATTAGCTTGCCTTGGTATTCTCATGGAAAGTTGCATGACTTGGGGAGATGATTCTTTTATAGAGAAACAACCTTATTTACCCATATTCGCACAACAGTATACTTAGTGGCCTAACATTTATTAAAGTATGCTTCTTGTCAAAAATGGTACTTATGCTTGCTCTAACTCGCTTTTGCTCACTCTCTCTCAATCCATCTGCCTCCATTTTCTTCCTCCTGTTTTTCTTCCTCCCTACTCCTTCACATACATGTGCACTCGTGAACATTCAGAAACTTTATAATATGCAATGCTTTTTCTATACACTTGCTGAAGAAATCCTCAATATTTTCTGTTATTTCTCATGCCAAGTTTGTAGCAGTTTCTTACAACCTCAAAATAATGATATAGCAATCAGCTTTTATTTCTTTAGACTCAGGTTATGTCATAGAATTTTAATCGTGAAAATTGCTGGGACTGTTTTTGAAGATTGTATTTTACTGTTTTTCTTTTAATACAGTTACTCTTAAATGTAAAGATATCCTCCTTAAAATGTCACTTAATTTTTAAATAAAAATACTTTATCATCAGTCAGTCAATCAGTTTCTGCATGATGTATTGTTTATACAAAATTGGATGACATTACCTCTCTCACATGGAAAGCCTCTTAGTTATACGTATACAAGACAGTAATGATTTTTCACAATAAAATAGATTATATGAATGTTAAACAAATGTATAAAACAGATAAAATTGTAAAATTAAGATCGGTTTAGCACACAACAATAATATAATCAAATTAATTGTTAAATCATTATGGGTCATACAGAAAGCTCGGTACATAATTACGATAAATAAGGCAAGATATATTTTTTTTATAAAGTACAGCACTTTCCAAAGCACACTAAGGAAACTGAGTAATTAAATATAAATTGCAAATTTAAATAGACTACTGATAATTAAAAATACAGGCTTATAAAATAACTTCTTTCTCATAATAAAAGTAAATTGCTGCTCTTTATATTCATACAATACCAGTAAGGTAGGGTCCCAACTGCTTTCTCATAGAAATCTGTATTATAATTGTGTCGTAGCACCATATTGCATGTCTGATTTCCAGTGCCGTGCCTAACAGCATTACAAGTAACAGTCACTACTAGCTGCACTACTTCACAGTAGCAGTAGTGGGAAGTGCCCTATATGAAAGTGCTGCTGCTGGTAGTAGCAGCACTTTCATTTAGAGCACTTCCCAACTGCTACTTACTAGTTGCCACCTTTTCCACAAGTCATAAAAAGTGTTCAAACCTGTATACACTAGAGGTTAATAGTTTCCACTGCAACACAGTGGAATTAAATTTCTGATACTATTTGCCAATTAAACTCTATCTTAGCAATTAAAGAATTTGCTGTGCATTGAGTTTGCAACAAGCTTGGAGTAGTAAGATTTAACCTAACAGCTAACCTAACATTGCAGAGTCACTTGTTTGCACAGAACTGCTTAATGCCTCAAATGACGTAGTGGAAGTTTTAGCAGTAAAGGTCGAGAACCAAAACCTAGTCATTGTGGTAGTCTACAAGCCTCCGGATGCAACATCCCAGCAATTCCAGGAACAGCTGTTAAAAATTGACCACTGTCTGGAAAATCTTCCAGCTCCTGCACCCAACATCTTGCTCCTGGGGGATTTCAACTTAAGGCACCTAAAATGGAGGAATATAGCAAATAATATTGTTGCAGTAATAACACCAGGAGGCAGCTCTGATGAAAACTCACACTCACACGAGCTTTTAAATCTCTGCACAAAATTCAATTTAAACCAGCAAATAATAGAGCCTACTAGACTGGAGAATACACTAGACCTCATATTCACTAACAATGATGATCTGATAAGAAATGTCACCATATCAAAAACAATATACTCAGATCACAACATAATTGAGGTTCAGACATGTATGCGAGGAGCCCCAGACCGACAAAATGAGACTAGTCACGAGGGAGCATTCACCAAATTCAACTTCAATAACAAAAACATAAAGTGGGACCAAGTAAACCAAGTCCTAACCGATATAAGCTGGAAAGATATACTAAGCAACACAGACCCAAACTTATGCCTAGAACAGATTAACTCGGTGGCACTCGATGTATGCACAAGGCTTATTCCTCTAAGAAAAAGGAGGAGTAGATGTAAAATAGAAAGAGACAGGCGCTCCCTTTACAGGCGACGGAAAAGAATAACAGAGCGGCTAAAAGAGGTCAATATATCTGAAATGCGCAGGGAGACACTGGTCAGAGAAATAGCAAGCATCGAACTTAAGCTAAAAGAATCCTTTAGGAGTCAGGAATCGCGGGAAGAACTAAAAGCTATAAATGAAATCGAAAGAAACCCAAAGTATTTCTTCTCCTATGCCAAATCAAAATCGAGAACAACGCCCAGTATTGGGCCCCTACTTAAACAAGATGGGTCCTACACAGATGACAGCAAGGAAATGAGTGAGCTACTCAAGTCCCAATATGACTCAGTTTTTAGCAAGCCGCTAACCAGACTGAGAGTCGAAGATCAAAATGAATTTTTTATGAGAGAGCCACAAAATTTGATTAACACAAGCCTATCCGATGTTATCCTGACGCCAAATGACTTCGAACAGGCGATAAATGACATGCCCATGCACTCTGCCCCAGGGCCAGACTCATGGAACTCTGTGTTCATCAAGAACTGCAAGAAGCCCCTATCACGAGCCTTTTCCATCCTATGGAGAGGGAGCATGGACACGGGGGTCGTCCCTCAGTTACTAAAAACAACAGACATAGCCCCACTCCACAAAGGGGGCAGTAAAGCAACAGCAAAGAACTACAGACCAATAGCGCTAACATCCCATATCATAAAAATCTTTGAAAGGGTCCTAAGAAGCAAGATCACCACCCATCTAGAAACCCATCAGTTACACAACCCAGGGCAACATGGGTTTAGAACAGGTCGCTCCTGTCTGTCTCAACTGTTGGATCACTACGACAAGGTCCTAAATGCACTAGAAGACAAAAAGAATGCAGATGTAATATATACAGACTTTGCAAAAGCCTTCGACAAGTGTGACCATGGCGTAATAGCGCACAAAATGCGCGCTAAAGGAATAACAGGAAAAGTCGGTCGATGGATCTATAATTTCCTCACTAACAGAACACAGAGAGTAGTCGTCAACAGAGTAAAGTCCGAGGCAGCTACGGTGAAAAGCTCTGTTCCACAAGGCACAGTACTAGCTCCCATCTTGTTCCTCATCCTCATATCCGACATAGACAAGGATGTCAGCCACAGCACCGTGTCTTCCTTTGCAGATGACACCCGAATCTGCATGACAGTGTCTTCCATTGCAGACACTGCAAGGCTCCAGGCGGACATCAACCAAATCTTTCAGTGGGCTGCAGAAAACAATATGAAGTTCAACGATGAGAAATTTCAATTACTCAGATATGGTAAACATGAGGAAATTAAATCTTCATCAGAGTACAAAACAAATTCTGGCCACAAAATAGAGCGAAACACCAACGTCAAAGACCTGGGAGTGATTATGTCGGAGGATCTCACCTTCAAGGACCATAACATTGTATCAATCGCATCTGCTAGAAAAATGACAGGATGGATAATGAGAACCTTCAAAACTAGGGAGGCCAAGCCCATGATGACACTCTTCAGGTCACTTGTTCTATCTAGGCTGGAATATTGCTGCACTCTAACAGCACCTTTCAAGGCAGGTGAAATTGCCGACCTAGAAAATGTACAGAGAACTTTCACGGCGCGCATAACGGAGATAAAACACCTCAATTACTGGGAGCGCTTGAGGTTCCTAAACCTGTATTCCCTGGAACGCAGGCGGGAGAGATACATGATTATATACACCTGGAAAATCCTAGAGGGACTAGTACCGAACTTGCACACGAAAATCACTCACTACGAAAGCAAAAGACTTGGCAGACGATGCACCATCCCCCCAATGAAAAGCAGGGGTGTCACTAGCACGTTAAGAGACCATACAATAAGTGTCAGGGGCCCGAGACTGTTCAACTGCCTCCCAGCACACATAAGGGGGATTACCAACAGACCCCTGGCAGTCTTCAAGCTGGCACTGGACAAGCACCTAAAGTCAGTTCCTGATCAGCCGGGCTGTGGCTCGTACGTTGGTTTGCGTGCAGCCAGCAGCAACAGCCTGGTTGATCAGGCGCTGATCCACCAGGAGGCCTGGTCACAGACCGGGCCGCGGGGGCGTTGACCCCCGAAACTCTCTCCAGGTAAAACTCCAGGTATCCTCCTCTTCAAGGAATATGCTTCAGTAACAAAGGCAATAGATTAGACACTGGACATTCTACAAAGACAGCAGAATGCATATATGGAAATTCTTGTACCCAGTCTAACCGTTTGTTTGAAAATATGAATAAAATTGAGATATATCCTCTCTAAATATCTGCTACTCACCAAAATCTTAACTGCTGGAGTTTCAAAACACTCAAAGTATCATGGAATATGATACCATTATGACTGCAACTTTCCATCATTATTTCAGTTTGTGCTGGGTAGATAATGAAGGCAGATGTTGCAGGTGTATGGTATAGGAGGTAGGTTACTGAAAGCAGTGAAGAGTTTTTACGAGGATAGTGAGGCTCAAGTTAGAGTATGTAAGAAAGAGGGAAATTATTTCCCAGTAAAAGTAGGCCTTAGACAAGGATGTGTGATGGCACCGTGGTTGTTTAATATATTTATAGATGGGGTTGTAAGAGAAGTAAATGCGAGGGTCTTGGCAAGAGGCGTGGAGTTAAAAGATAAAGAATCACACAAAGTGGGAGTTGTCACAGTTGCTCTTAGCTGATGACACTGTGCTGTTGAGAGATTCTGAAGAGAAACTGCAGAGGTTGGTGGATGAATTTGGTAGGGTATGCAAAAGAAGAAAATTAAAAGTGAATACAGGAAAGAGTAAGGTTATGAGGATAAAAAGATTAGGTGACGAAAGATTGGATATCAGATTGGAGGGAGAGAGTATGGAGGAGGTGAATGTATTCAGATATTTGGGAGTGGGCTTGTCAGCAGATGGGTCTATGAAAGTTGAGGTGAATCATAGAATTGATGAGGGAAAAAGGGTGAGCGGTGCACTTAGGAGTCTGTGGAGACAAAGAACTTTGTCCTTGGAGGCAAAGAGGGGAATGTATGAGAGTATAGTTTTACCAATGCTCTTATATGGGTGTGAAGCATGGGTGATGAATGTTGCAGCGAGGAGAAGGCTGGAGGCAGTGGAGATGTCATGTCTGAGGGCAATGTGTGGTGTGAACTCGTAGTTTGGAAGTTAGGAGGAGGTGCGGGATTACCAAAACTGTTGTCCAGAGGGCTGAGGAAGGGCTGTTGAGGTGGTTCGGGCATGTAGAGAGAATGGAGAGAAACAGAATGACTTCAAGAGTGTATCAGTCTGTAGTGGAAGGAAGGCGGGGTAGGGGTCGGCGGGAGGTGGTAAAGGAGGTTTTGTGTGCG